TTTTTTTAAATAAAAATATAATTATTAAAATTTTATAATTGGGTCCCATTTTAGCGACCAAAGTTGGTCGCTATCTGCTTACCCCTTAATTTGCGACCAACTTTGGTCGCTAATTTAAGTTATATTTATTTATATTTTATAATTTTTTTAAAATAATATTATAATTAATATAATTATATAAGTGGGTCCCCCTGTAGCGACCAACGTTGGTCGCTAATCTCAGTATACCTTTGACCAAGCAAGTCTGACCAGTCCGGTCAATATTTTGACAAAATTAGCGACCAAGTAGCGACCAACCTTGGTCACTAATGTATATCAAATTATTTTCGCCAATTTAGCGATCAAATTTGGTCGCTTTTCTTGACAGACCAACTTTGATCGCTAAAGTTTGGTTGCTTTTTTCCGGAATTCTAGTAGTGATTGCATCTAAATGCTCAAACGTGTATGTTTTCTAGTTATACAGCCGCTAATTACATAAACAAAAGATTGCTACTCCATCGGGGGTAAGAAGGATGCATTAGGCTTTAATTTCATGGACAAGATGGACGGTGGCAGTGTAATATATATGGCCATGCTCATAACTGCCTTACCAAGGTTTCAAGTCTCCAGTTGGACCTGCTGTCCAGTTGAGTATCTTTTCTCCTGGCTTCAGATAGGTAGTCTTTTGATGAGGCAATTTCCGAGCAAGCCCATTTAAGATTTGATGAAATGCATCTCTAGGTTGGGCTGGTTGTGGGAACAACATTGCCTTCTTCATTGATGGATTGGCTAGAAACCTTTGCTTTCTTAGGACAACATGTGGTGGTATAGAAGTGAGAATAGTATCTAAGTAAGGTACATCTTTTTCTGCTACAAACACACCAATATCTTCCCAAGGGATAGCATCAGCAAAAGGCAAAACAATGTCATCGGCTATAATAACAGGTATGCAACCAAATACTACACTTTCTACTAATCTAGGACTCCATGGAGCCCAACCCAAAGGGCATAAGCAGAAAATGGCTCGTTGCATGTCCTCGTAATATGTGGTTGGGTGGTCAGTCGAGATGTCAAACAGTGGATTGTTCTTGAAATTCTCCCAAATTGATGCCCTTGCACCTCTGTGTGAATAATAATTAATTGATTTTAGAATTACGTATTAATGACTTTTTAAAGCTATGAGTCGATCAATATTTGTACGTACCTTGCATAATAACCACCTTCAGGATCATTGTTGACATCATAAAACAAACCACGAAAATAGACAAAGATGGACCTGGGAGTGTCTGGGGGAATCAAATGAGCCTGCATCTTCTGAGGGGGTGCATATGGTGGTATTGTGATTGAGCCCTCATTCAAACATACATGGTTCCGCTGTCCAAAAGTTTGGACTAAGGTAGCACGTTGTAGCAATGGAAGAATGCCTCGTTCAATAGCTTTCTCTTCCTGCGACAGAATTAAAAGGTAAGATGGAATCCGCCCACAAGTTTGCTAATTCCAATTGGGACTTACTTGATAATGAAAACAAGCTCCAAAATCATGAGGAACAAGAAAAAAGTGATCAGCTCCTTCTGTTCGATTCCAATAAGGCCAATTTGCAGAGATAAGTTGTATTGCACTCCTCATGATCCGCGGAGATTTGAAGGGCAAAGGCAACCCATTAGGTGTTAGGTCACAAGTAGGGTACACAGGGGTATAAAACCAATCAGCTTCTTCAGGATTAAGAGTTCTAACGGCACTTGATAAAAGGAATCGATGCATGAAGATTTCAGCAGCAAACATATGAGTGAGACATCTCGGGTCTTTTTGCAACAGCTTTTTGTTATATTTGCTTGGAAGTTCGTATACGTAAACTTTCAATCTTCCTACTGGGTCATCTTCAAGGACATCGCCAGCACTTCCTAATAATACCAAAACCCATGTTTTCATAAATTAAAGCTGCGATCCCCAGCAGAAATTTAAGTGAAAGAGACGAATTCAGAAATATACCAGAAATCCTCTCGCTAGTAATAGGAGCTGCCTGAGGAAGCTTTCCTACAGCAATGGTGATAGGTAGCAGCAGCAGAAACACCCAACTAATCATCGTAAATGCTAGATTTGGCATTAATGGAGATATTGATTTGTTTTGAAAGAGGCACTAGGCAGAGGACGACTATATGGCAAATGCCTGCATGCAGTTGTTGGCAAGTCGTAGACAATTTTTGGTAAGGAGTTACTATTATGTTCGGGTAGGCACCTTATTATTAGGTTCAAAGTATCTTTTCCTTCCAATAAATTAAATGCCATTTCGTAGACATGCATTTACCGTCTATATAGTACTAGACATGCCTTCTGTTTCCAATGTACCTAAACTAAGTTTTACCTTCTAGTAGTAGTACCAGCCAAGCCAAGTTTCTTGATTTCTTTCATTTTCTTTTTTCAACAAAGAAAACGACCGTGATACTACCAATGGATTGGGCTGTAACCTACGACCACGAAGCATACGTAGTATTGCATATAAATATTCGTAACATGTTGCGGGACACAATAACAATCTTAGGAAGATATTTTTGTGTTTAAATTTTTTTTACATATTAAATATCGGATTTAAGTCGTTTCAAAATTTATTTGATAGTACGAATACTCTATGCGTATCCACACCGATACCGATCCTTTCTATCAACTATTTGATCAATGAAACCTGCGAACAAATTGAATTAAAAAAATATTGTGTTGATATTTTTCTCAAAAATCTTTAGAAGAACAAGAAATACTTTTCTTATAATTGTATTTTCTCTCTTGGCTTTGTATTGTATTCTCACTTTCACAAAGTGCTTTTTCTTCACAAAACATAATGCTGCAAATTTTTCTCCATCACCCTTTATATAGCATCACGTATAAATAATTTTCCTATTTGGTTGAGGTAATGATTTAGTTAGATAAATATTTAATTAAAAAATAAACTTTGTGGAATATTATATGGAAACTTCGATTGGTAACGTGACCATTGACTCTTTATGGACTTTCTATTAGTCCTAATTGGACTATCTCAAGCAGTACTTAATATTTTTCCATAAAAGAAAACAGATTCCACGGCAAATAGCTCACGTTTCAGACGTCTATTTTACAACTTCAAATTGGATTTCACCACTAGAAATGCGCGGTAAAAAAACCGGCCAAAAAACTAATAGAAGTCGGTTGGTTTTTCAAAATATATTATTTTTTAGTTTTTTTTAACGAAACTGATCAATTTTGGTCGGTTTTCTTTGGTGCAAAAATGCAGGAAACTATTTTTGAGTCCCGCAAAATTTATTTTTCAAGAAACCGACAAACTTTTTCGGTTTTTCATTTAAAATAAACTAAAATTAATATTAAAAAACCGACTGAATTCGGTCGGTAATTTTATTTTTTAGTAGAACCGACCAACATCTTTCGTTTATTTTTGTGCGAAAATACAATTAAAGAGTATAAATGAAATAAAAGGCAGTCTTAAAACAAAATGCACCAATGGTCTAATGGTAGAATAGTATCCTACCACAGTACAGACCTCTGTTCAATTCCCAGATGGTGCATTTTTTTAATCACATAATTAAAATACCGACCGACTTTGGTAGGAAAAAACCGACCAACTTCAGTAAGTTTTTTCGGCAATATTTTTTTTTTGAATTTAATTGACCGACCAAAATTGGTTGGAAAATAGGGACCAAAGTCGGTCAGTTAGCTCTACCGACCTTACAATTAGCGATCGCTACGAAATAATCGGTTTTCGGTCGATTTTTGCCAATTACCGACCAATATCGGTCGGTTTTTCCCTTTTTTTGTAGTCTTTACTTAATAAGCAAACTAATATTTTATATAACATCTTTTATATAAAATAATGTTAGTTATGTATATCATACATATATATATATATATAAACAAACAAATATCATTTAAATTTATTGCAAATAGAATACTATAATTTGTTAACAATATTAATTATATTCCCTTTGCTAGCAAAAAATATAATAATATTTTATTTGGACTAATAATTTAATTTATTTTATTAATTATATTCTATAATTTAATTATCAAATAATAAATTAATTAATCATTTAGCAAAGATCATAACACTCGTTAGTGTGCGACCTCATAGGTTCAATACTAAACTGGTAGTAAATTGATCACATCAATATACTAATGAAGTGTGGCGTCTAGCAATACTCCTTAACGACCGGATAACATGAAGTATAAAATTTATTCTAAGAACCAGTAAAAGAATAATGTAGTAATTCCTTCTACCCTTGTAGCTCTGGGTTATCCTAGGATATAGTTCAACTGTCAAATCCTAGCAGATGACTAACTATGTATTCATGTCAAATATAATCGACTATTGAATGATCTAAGAAACTCTTTTCTTCTTTCATTCAATTGCATTGGCCAAGATCTTAATTTGGTCGTTTATAATTCATGACAACATGGAGCTTATACTTATTACCAAGGGTTGACAGATTCCATCTTGATCAACCACTAATTCTACAAGCATTTAATCATACCCAATATTCTTTCAACTATCGCTCTAAGGCAACAGGTGTCTAGTAACAAAGCACAATAAATAACTTGTCAATTACTATGACGATCTCAAGTCAAAGAAAATTCTTACATCACATTCTTCAAGAGAATATTCTATTGACAGTTTATGGTAATTCTAACCATTAGGAATTAACCAACAAGTAGGTTCAATAATTATATCTCTATATGTGTCATCTATATATGTGATTTGGTTAATGAGATCAACTAATCTTTAGCCCATAAAGATAATCACATAAATATTGATCTAACCAGATTACTAATATCCAAATTAATAATCCTACGATCAAGATCAAATTTATATTAAATTATAAAAGACTTTACTCTCATTATCATGATCTTCATCACCATGAAAAATTTCAAAATTTAATCAAGGACCTTATTAAATTAATCAAGCAATTAATAATAACTATGATAAAACAATATCAAATGCCATATATTTTTATATAAATAACATTCACAAAATATATTCAAATCATCAAATATGAGATTGGATCTAGGGCATATCTACTATACCCCTAACATTCTCCCACTTGCACTAGGGTCAATTGCTCTTGTACTTCATTCACAATTTTTACTTGTGCTTGTCAAACTCCTTTGCTCCAAGATCTTTAGCGAATAGGTTTGCAACATTTTCCTTTCCATCAACCTTTTAAATCTCAACATCTCCACGTTCAATGATTTCTCTTATCAAGTGATACTTTCGCAGAACGTGTTTGGATTTTTCTGTCATCTTGGTTCCTTTGCTAGGGCAATTGCTCAAATATTGTACCCAACAATGGAGCTGTACCTTCTTCTATTGAAGGAATCATACTAGGTTCAGTTAAGAAAATTTTGATCCATACAGCATCCTTAGCAGCTTCACTTATTGCTATATATTCTGCGTCAGTCAATAAATCAGTTATTGTAGCTTGTTTGGAACTTTTCCTACTCACTACGCCACCATTTAAGGTGAATACATAACAAGAAATAGAATTTATATTATCTCTATTTGAAGAAAAACTTTCTTCAGTATAACCTTCAAGTTGCAACCCAAATTCTCCATAGATGAGGAATTGGTCTTTAGTCCTTCTTAAGTACCTAAGAATGGTCTTCACCATCTTCCAATGTTCCTCACTAGGATTTGCCTGATATCGGTTAGTAACTCCAAGTGGATAAGCTATATCAGGACATGGAATTATCCATGTTATACCTCTTTAAGATGATATCAATGTACAAACACTAGGTAAGTCCAAGCAGCTTCTTCGATCTATCTCTATAGATCTTTTGTGATGACCCTGCCAGTCGTCTCATGAGTTACCGCTCTGTTTTCCCCATTTCTGCTTCTTATTGCTTTGTTTATCGGTTCTTTATGTGATCGGGTTGTTTAGCTCGGGTTTGGAAAGGATTTGGTAAGGTTTGAGACACTTAATCTTTTTTGAGGAAGCTTAAGTTGAAAAAGTCAACCGGATGTTGATTTATGTGTTAGAGGGCTCGTATATGAGTTCCGATGGTTCGTGTATCTTTGGGAGGTTATTTGGGACTTAGGAGCGTGATCAGAATGAGTTTTGGAGGTCTGGAGTAGATTTAGGCTTGAATTGACAAAATTAGATTTTTGGTGATTTTTGGTTGGTAGGTGAGATTTTCATATAGTGGCCGGAATAGAATTCCGAGAGTTTCAATAGTGCCGTTGTGTCACTTGGGATGTGTGTGCAAAATTTTAGGTCATTCGGATGTGGTTTGGTTGGGTTTGTGATCAAAAGCGTAATTTAGAAGATTTTTGAATTCTTAGGCTTGAATCCGATGCGAATTTGGTGTTTTGATGTTGTTTTGAGCGTTCTGAATGTTGGAAAAAGTTTGAATGAGGTTATGGGATATGTTGGTATGTTTTGTTGAGGTTTCGGGGGCTTTGGGTGAGTTTCGGGTGGTCAATCGGACCATTTCATGATGTTTGAGATTGGAGAAAACTGTTGTGTGCTGCAGAAGATTTAGACCTTCGTGTTCGCGAGTGGGTCCTCGCGATCGCGAAGGGCCAGTTGATGAAGCTGGGATTTAAGCCTTCGTGTTCTCGAGGAAGGCTACGCGTTCGCAAAGGGCTGGGCATTTGGTCATCGCGTTCACGTGAGGTGGATCGCGTTTGCGTAGAAGAAAAGTGGTCAGCTGGGTTTGAGGTATTTTATTCATCGCGTTCGTGAGAGGGGTAACACGATCGCGAAGGGTGGTCTGAGTAAAGCATGACGTTCGTGATGGGAAGGTTGCGATTGCGAAAGAGGAAATTCTGGTCAAAGTTATATTGTGTTTCGCGAGCGCGAGTGTTTGACCTCGTTCGCAAAGAAGGATTTCAGGCATGGGCAGAAGGTTTAAATAGTCTTCTTGTCCGCGATTTTGGAGTTTATTTCTTCCATTGTTGATCGTTTTTGGAGATTTTTGAAGAGGATTGAGGAGGTATTCAAGGGGAATCACTTGGAGGTAGGATTCATGGACTTAAAACTCGATTCAATTGTGAATTCTACCTAATTAATCATGGAATCTAAACATAAAATTGAAGAACTAGGGCTTGAAGTTGGAGACCTAAAATTTAGGATTTGATGAGTCATTTGTGGATGGAATT